ATTTGAAATATTATAGAAACCACCCATATTAGAACGTATTTTTCGTTTCGCACCTTTTTTCTCAAGGTAATTATATTGTCAGCGAAATTTTGCTTACTAACGTCATATTATAATCAAATATTAATATATTTTCATTAAAAATACATTTTCAAAATTTAAATTTAAATTTAAATTAATAATTAGTTTTAATCACATATTTTATTATGAGTATATTTGGTGGGAATTAAAATTAAAATCTTTTTAATAGATTGTGATAGAAATTTTTGAAATGTATTGTTAAAAAGTTACGTGATTCATAAAAAATGTGGTTAATATCGATTGTTTAACTTTGACTTAGATTAAAATCAGATTTTATTCCAAACCAAACATGCTTTATATCAGAGTTGTTATTAACTATACAAATTTTATCAAATTTAGGGCTTGTTTGAACCATATTATTCTAAAAATATATATATATTTCAACAGTGATTTGATATCATTTAAAATAATATTACACGTAAATTTAAAATTTTTTCTTACGTTTTAAATACACATTTCTCATTGATTTGACATTAATAATATATTTTTTCCTAGAATATGACTCAAACATGAGCTTATTAAAATTTAATAGAAATATGATTTTTAGTAAAACCAAACAAGGGCTAATATAAAACTATATATAAGATAATTATATTCATTTATTCATCTTATAATCCAACAAAAAAATAATTGGCACGCAAGAGATTATTTAAAAGCAACAATAAAGTTAGTTCATATACGATAGAATGATCGGATAATCTATGCAAAATTTATTGAATTACAAGGAATGACTTGCCCATGTATCCCATATCACTTAAATACATCTACATTTAAGTTGGTTCATATATGATAGAATGATCAGGTAAACTATGTAAAATTTATTGAATTATGAGGAATGACTTTCACATGTATCCCATATCATTTAAAAACATGTGTGTGTGTTTTTATCTTTTAAGACTAATTTTTGGCTCACCGATTAAATTTTCAGGTCACTGATATAGACTTTGTTTGAGCCCCATTTTAGAGAAAAAATGAATTTTTGAATAGTGTATTGATGTTAAATGTGTGGTTAAAAAATAAGGAAAAATTTTGAATTTACGTGTAATATTATTTTATTGAACAATGTGTGATTAAAATGATGTCAAAATATTGTATAAGAATGAATATTTTCTAAATAATGGGGCTCAAACAAGCTGATAATTGTATTTATGTTGAAAAAAATCATGTAGTATAATTAAATTCGTTTGGAATATGTGTATTTCATGTGATTTAATAAAAGAATTGTGAGATAATTATCTGTGTTTATCAATATTAGTTTATTTCTAATAACATTATTTTTTTCCTAAAGAAGGAAGACCTTCAAAACTTTTGTTTTAACCCAATTTTTTTGAAAAATGAGTTTTATAATAGTGATTTTTTAAAAATGTGTGGTTAAAACAAGAATAAATTTTGGATTTACATGTAAAAAATATTTTTATTGGATGAATATGTTATTAAAAATAAATTTAGAAAAAATGAATTTTTAGAAAATGAAGATTAAATAGAGGCTTATAAAAGTCAATCATAGCCAATATTCTAAAACGCGTAATGCATGGTAATGTTGGAGACCAAGCTATAGGTAGGTGAATTTAGGCGAGGCATAAGCGCAAAAATGCATTTTCTTGTTTAAGTTTTCATTTGCTCAAGGCTTCAAGTAGCTGTTTTAAATCTAGAGCAGATGAAATAAAGAAATTATGATGCGTTTGATTGTAAGCATAAAATTTGCATTGAAAAAAATAAATTCTAACTAATTCAATTGCATAGAACTTATTTGCATGAAAATTCTCAATTAAATGTGTTTGATTGATTTAATTTTCAATCTAAAAAATATTATACTTGTCCATATTTTATTGATGGATAGATAAAAGAGAGTGAATAAATGAAGAGAGAATGAAATCCTTGGAAAATAAAATCATACTCCCCTTAAAAAAAATATTTCCTTGATTTTAAGTAAAATATGGTCATATGGCCAAAAGTAGAAACTTGTTTTCCATAGAAAAATGGCAATCAAACAGTACTAAAGTAGGAATTTGAGGGGGAAAAAACATGTTTTTCATGAAAAATATTTGCAATCAAACGCACCCTTAACTTTTAATTTAAAAGAACTGTTAAAAAAAAAAAAGATAATAATACCTCTAGACGTGCATTGGTGATCAACGATTACTGTTAACTGATAACTAAAGTGCTAAGCCATTTGGTTTGGCATTTTCGTTGCGCATTGTGCCTAGACGACGCCAAGCACCTTTTTGAACACTGACTATGGCACTTTAATTACCAAATGACAGCTTCCGAAAAGATTTTTCCTCTTCAATATCTAGGTTCAGTTTGAGCCACGTTTTTTTTATAAAAAAAATACATTCTTAAATAGTGATTTGACATCATTTTAATCACATATTTTTCAATAAAATAATATTACACGCAAATTTGAAACTTTTTCTCATATTTGAACTACACATTCTCCATTAATCTACTATTTCAAAATACATTCTTTCAAAATAAGGTGGCTCAAACACACACCTAATGTAGAAAAGCAAAAATATATATAATCCATTTTTACATAAATTTTCAAAATACTTGTTTAAAATAAAAGAAAAATCCTTTTTCACCATGTCAAGCGAAAAAATAACCTGATTATGTGAGGAATGTATGTGTTTTCCAATAGTAATCGCGACGCTTCATCAAATAAAAAGTACACTATAATGTAGGACTTCCGACTACATTGTTATGCAATCAAATGAATCTCCTAATTATTATGGTCTATTTGGTGCTGATTTAAATCAAATATTAATCAAAGTCTAAGTTAAACAATTAATTTTAACCACATATTTCATGGATTCCCCCAACTTTTCGACCATATTTCAAATTTTTTTATCAAACTCTACTAAAAATCTAATTTTAATCCTCACCAAATAAATGCTATATTATTGATCTCAAATAAGTCATAATTCTATAATAACGAATATTTTTTTCAATTATTTAAATTACCACGGGTAACACTGCCTTTGTATCTATATACTTCATAGCAACGTAAAAATGATATCATTAAATGATTAATAATAAAATAATAATATGGATTAATAAATGTATAAATTAATGTATGAGCTTTCGTATGTTAAATTTTGATTTATTTCGTCAATTTAAACAAATGGTCTCAACTATCAAGTTTCAATATGAAGGAAATGCCTACAAATAACCTAAATATAATTATGAATTGTGAGATTAGACCTGAAAATATAATCATTTGAAGAATAGCCTTTGGATTATTATCTTTCCAAAAATACCCCTCATAGAGAATTTGCAATCAAAGCCATTATAATGTATAAAAACTTTCAATTAGGTCCCCAAAGAAATATAGATCATGAATCTATAATAAATTTAACCCCAAATATTATACAAAATTTTATTGATCTAAAAAATGCAACAGATGATGAATTAAATTATCTAAAAGAAGATCTGAAGAGTTTCTTTACAGAATATTTAGATCCAAAATTAAAATATAAAAATATTTATATAGATAATAGAGCAATTAAAATAGAAAATAATATACATAAACAAATTCTTGAACTAAAAAGAAGAATTAACAAATTAAATATAATTATTAAAGAAAAGGTTTTGACAAAAGATAGTGAATTTTATAAATTCTATTGTAATATCTTAAATACTTATGAAGAATTTAATTGGATTCAAAAACTTAACCCCTCCGCTGTACGCTCTCCAAAAATGGTATCAGAGCCATGTTACGAATCTAAAATTATGATGAACATAGTAGATGAAGAAAATATAATTGAAGAATTTTTGAAAAAAGTTGAAAAACATAAAAAACCAAGTTGTCCATATTTACCTAAAAACAGCACAAATGAAAGTTT